TTTTAGTTGACGAAAGACGAAACTAGGTTTCGCATTTCGTCAGCGCGAAACCTCAAGGTTTCGTCTAACAACTATAATCGATGAATAACGTTTATCGTTCCGAAATCGGCATAGGCTTTATTTTATATAAATTGCCAACGATGAAAACAGAAATTAAATGCTAAAAAACGAAATGCATTTCATTTATTTTTATTTTATTCATTTTCAATTACATGAAATTAGAGTTAAATGTGCCTCGCCTTGAAAAATAATGAAATTCTTATTTTAAATAAGCACTATTTAATGCTGTCAACTAGTCTTTCTGTAATGGCAATAATTACTGTTCTACGATTAAGGCTTACCCCAGTCGCTACTTGACTCAAAACTTTGCATTGAAAATTGGACCAGAAGTATGACTTTTTTTAACACCTGTTCGACTTAACAAAAGCGAATACTTTACCAGGAAATTAAATTAAATTATTTAGTATATTGATGTTAGGAATGCGTATTTTCACTTGGTTTTATAATTCTTCACATAAATCGTTGATTTTGTGCTTTTTAGAATATATAGACTAATAATATTTTTTTTCAAGAGATTCACGTGTTTTCCTTTTTTTCCTTATTTTTTCTTTTTTTTGCTTTATATGTATGATATACGCTTTATCTGTTATCGTTATCGTTATCGTTATGATGTAATTTATAATAAGTGATGTAGGTTTCGTTGATATCGAATTTACAGGAATCGCAATTTGTGAAACATCGGTTGACTACTGTATTTATTTATATTTGTCATGCAGCCGATCTCTTCGATCATTTCGATTATGAGACAGATTTACTAATTAAAATCTGATGGCTTTATTACATAATAAAGTTAATCGTATGTGCCTACGTACTGTACATACGTATGTACGTACGTACGTACAGTACATACGCAGGCAGGCAACAAAGAGAAAAAAAAAGACCATTTTAATTGGTATTTTGCCGCAACTTTATTCAAAACGTCTTCTGTGACATCTCAAAAAGGATACTCATTTTACGTGTAAAATCCTGTTACCGGTTAATCTTTATTTGATCATAACCCAGTATTTAGCGTTAGCGTTAGCGCCACTTTTATACTAGCTTACCTAAATCGATCGATCAATCAAACAATTCATGCAACTTTCTCTTTAAGATTTTACCTTTCTATTGTTTTTTTTTTTTTTTTTTTTTTTAAAAAAAAAAAATTTGATGTAAAAATAAAAAAATTAATAATGTCAAAAGAATTTTCTCAAGAAAAAGATGCACTAGAAAACGGTGAAATTACAAAAGCTGATAATTATACAAAACTCGACGTGAATGATTCAGAGAGCCCATCTGCTAAAGACTTAAATACACTACGTAAAATTGCTGGTGATGTACCAACTGGTATGTTTCTCTTAATATGATATACCTAATTTAATCAGATTACATTAATTTTTAATATTCCAAAAAAAAAAAAAAAAAAAAAAATTTATATAATTAATTATAGCCGCATGGTTTATAATACTCTGTGAACTTTGTGAACGATTTACTTATTATGGTGTCTCTGGTCCTTTCCAAAATTACATTCAATTTCCTCCACCTGCAGAACAGGGTGGTCAACCTGGTGCAATTGGTGCAGGTCAACAAGCTGCAACCGCTTTAACTTTGTTTTTTCAATTCTTTTGTTATATTACTCCTATATTCGGTGCTATTCTTGCTGATCAATATATTGGAAGATATAAGACTATTGTTATGTTTTGTTGTATTTACATGGTCGGTTTAATTATCTTAACTTTGACCGCAATTCCACCTGCAATTGCTGCAAATGCTTCTCTTCCTGGTTTAATTATTGCTATGGTGATCATAGGGTTGGGTACAGGTAAGTTATTATTTCAATTTGAATTTTGAATTATAAGTTATCGTATGATGGGTAAAAAAAATATTGGTACGGTGGTATGGCGTATATCAGCGAACGGATCAAATATCTGTCGGGGATATATGGGTCGCGACTGCGGCCTATATATCTCTGACAGATATTTGGTGCGATCACTGATATACACCCATACCACCGTACCAATATTTTTTTTTACTCACCATACGATAACATAATAATTATTATTAATATTTGTTATAATTCTGTAATATATAATATTTTATTTTTGTTATTTTTTTTTAGGTGGAATCAAATGCAACGTTGCACCTATGGCCGGTGAACAAAATACACGTACTGACCCCTATATCAAGACATTATCAAATGGTGAAAAAGTTATTATGGACCCTGAATTGACTACTCAATCTATTTTTCATTGGTTCTATTTAGCAATAAACATTGGTGCTCTTTCTCCAGTAATCACTACAAATATCGAAAAATATATTTCTTTTTGGTTGGCTTACCTAATTCCATTAATAATGTTTATTTTCGCAATTTTGGTGTTATTAATTGGAAAAAATAAATTGGTTAAAAAACCTCCAAACGGATCGGCTTTATTAAATTGTTTTAGAGTTCTCTGTATATCTTTTTCTCATGGTCGTTCTTTGGAAAATGCAAAACCTTCTAATATGTCTGCTGATGTTAGAGTCAAAGAACGTGTAACTTGGGATGACGCCTTTGTAGATCAAGTACGACTTGGAGTGCAGACTGTTCGTGTTTGCCTATTTTTCCCCATTTATTTTGTTTGTTATTCTCAAATTCTTAATAATTTGATTTCGCAAGCCGCTACAATGCAAGTTGGTGGGGTATGTATTTGATTTCTTATTTTTTTATTATTTAAGTTTTATTTATTAATTTTCATTATTTAATTGATTTATTATTTTAATTCTACACGTATATTTACCTTTTGAAAGGTACCAAATGATATTATGAATAATTTGGATCCTATTGTTTTAATTATTTTCACTCCACTCGCAAATTACGTGCTGTAAGTACTTATATATTTTATTGCTAAATAAACGATAATAATTATATATTCATCTTTTTTTCACCTGTTTGTAGTTATCCGTTACTTCGGAGATGTGGAATTTCTATTCGACCCATAGCAAAGATTTTTATAGGATTCATGTTAGTTAGCTTAGCAATGATTTATGCTGCTATACTTCAATATTTCATTTATAATACCAGCCCATGTTATAACCAAACTCTATGTTTGGTAAATGACGTACCTACTCCAAATAATATTAATGTTTGGTGGCAAGCGCCTGCATATGTTTTTATTGGTTTATCTGAAGGTAATTTTTTTTTTACCTTTTTTTTTCATCAAATTTTTATTTATTCATATATTAATAAAATTTTTATTTATTCTTATATTAATAAAAATTTTTTTAACTAAATTTTCATTCAAGTATTCGCTGTGATAACAGGCCTCAATTATGCATATTCAAAAGCTCCAGAAGCTTTAAAATCTTCTGTGACTGCTATATTTCTATCTACAAGTGCGTTTGGATCCATATTAGGGCTCATGTTTATACCATTATCAACAGATCCTTATCTGGTTTATATGTATTTAACTCTTGGCATGTTAGCTTTTATAACTGGACTTTTGTTATTGTACTTTTTAAATGGGTATGATGATTTGGGCGAAGTTGAAAATCAAAAAATTGATAAATTTTGATGGATGTTATAATTGGTTTCTTTTTCTTTTTGATCTGAAAGAACAACTTTCATTTTCATAATTTTGCAACATAGAGCTTTTTTTGTACATTTATTCATTTAGACTTTTTTTTAAAAAAAAAGTCTTTTCACAATGTTAATACAATAATGTAAATTTATTTTTTGCATATTTTTTTTTAAAAAAGAAATAAAATTTCAATGTGGCATAGCGATAGTACAGTATTCATATTGAACTAAACTGGTTTGACTAACGCTAATAATTTTTCATTGTTACTATTGGATGTTTTAGTCATAGCAAGTGATCCAAAATAAGAATTCGTTTAATCAGAAATTATGCGTCAGAATTAGAAATTTTGTTATGATCAGCCAAAATTAAAATATGCGTATTAAAAATTATAATCTGATGTAACACATATAAATTTGTTGTGATCATAAGAAAATAAGAGTTGGAATTATAAATTACATAGCTGAGAATTCGACAATAAAATAATATAATAAATAAAAAAAAACAAGCAAGAAATTGGTTTTATTATGAAAAGAGAATTTCACTACGGATAAAATTTTTTCATGAAAAACATCTATTCAAAAATATTTTATTGACATTAATGATAAAACTTACAAGACTTTCTTCTTACAATAAATTTTTTAGTCAATGAAATTTTAGCAACAAATCAATAAAACTTCGTAAACCTTATCTTTATATAAAGCGCTTTCTTTATATCATTAAACTAGCTTATAAGTTTAAATATAAAAGGTGAACTAGGCATGATAAGATGGTATAACGAAAAATGCATAAATACTTCGAAAGTTGTAAACTAAGTTTGTCATATAGAATGGACCAAGAGTTAAGCTTTAGCAGATTTTATTTCCAAAATAAATACTGTAATAACATAGTTAAACAACGTATTACTTGTGATGTACGTAAATTTGCAAGCACATATTAATAAATCAAGTTAGAAAAGTTATCTATATTTAGAGATAATTTAAATATAATTTATTTGTATAGATTGTTTATTTTATTGCTTTACTTTATACCTAGTTAAAATTTAATATAAAATATTTAAAGCAATATCTTAATACGCAAAAATAAAAATAAAGAATTATGGGGCAAAACTAAAACTAACTGAAGTAAAATTTAAAATCTCCATTTAAACTTATAAAAAACTATTTATACTTTTTTAGTAATAATTTTAACCCTATATTCTAATTTGACTAAAAAAAAATTTAATTTATAATAAATAATCTAATCTCTAGATTTAGCCAATTTAACTTCATACCTCAATAATTAACAATAAATATATACCTTAAGGATCATGATACTCGTCAGCGAAAATATCAACAGGTTCAGTTGCTAAAGACAATTCTAATTTTAAAAATATAAAATAGATTTAATAATTTATAGCTTATTTTATTTTTAAATAGTTTTTTAAATAATTTGTTTCGTATTAATAATTTTGCTAGTGTACATGTGATCTGGATGATTTTGAGGAAATGTCGGTAATGTTTTAACGACTTCATCAGCATTTAAGAACTGTTTTTTGATTTCATTTTCATCTGGATTATCATAATTTCGATAAGTCTCTACAGCATATTCTGAACCTAAATTTTGAAGCCAATCATCAATTTCGCCATAAATATCATAAGCACTAGGTCGTTCTTGTGGATCTGAGTTCATACATTTATTTGCTAATTCAACATAACAATCGGGAGTTCCAGGAGCAAACTTTGGTCGTAGTCCTTTGCAAATTTTGACTGCAAGTTTTGTATCGAATTTATTACCATCAAAAGGTCTTTGGCCAGTTGTTATTTCAGCCATAATAACACCAAAACCATAGATATCCGCTGCTTTTGTAACCTGTTTTTCGCCTGATAAAACTTCCGGAGCAACATAAGGCATAACTCCATAAATATCACCTTTCTACACTATTTTCATCTACTTTTTTAGTTAATCATAGATCCGAGACATAAGAAGTACCTTTATCGTGAAGAACGTTACCACTATGAAAGTCAGCATTAATATATCACACAGCATGAATTTGGTTTAGGTCTTTGGATATATCTCTGAGTTGTTTTAATTTAAGCTCCCATGTAAGTTTGTTAAAATTTGATCGTAAAAATTTACGGATATTTCCATCATTAGCATACTGAAATACCATTAAGTATTCATTAGTTTTTGAGTCATGAGTTAAACCATATATCTTAAGTTCACTACCAAAGATTGTACACGTCATATGGGTTTTAAACTTAGTGATTATATAAAGGCATTAGTTCAATAGGATATTACAGATATTACATAAGTTATAAATACAATTTTAACTACCTCGCTTAAAAAATCAAATAAATTTTTTGTCTTTGAACCAGAAAAGGTCTTGAGTGCAACGATGCTGTTTTGTTCACGTGTTCTTTTATAAATGCAGTTTTCATCGTCACTACTGTCTTCTTTGTCATCATTACTATCAATTTTTTTAACGTTTCGTATGCCATCCGACCAGATTGCTCTGTATATAGATCCAAATCCCCCTTTACCAATTTCTTTAACATCAAATAATCTATCAAATGGAATCCACTCAATCAATTTCCCATATTCAAAAGTTCTAAGTTGAAATGCTTTCACAAAATCATCAATATCCTTGTTTCTACTCGTCCACTGTGTTGCTATGTCGGGGTCACATGACACGCACCATGCTTTATTCGTATTGGCTTCATTACAATATTCACATTTTCCATATTTAGATTCACTATACAATGATAATTATAAATCATAATATCGTATTTCTTTCATATCTGCCATGCGATTTTTAAACTTTATATCTAATGTAAATAATTTTTTATACTTACCGACTAAATTAATGTGAATGAATAAGCATTTATATTCTTGATTTGTCCACTTGTTTTGCTGATTTTAACTCCAATATTAATAAATGATCATGGTCTTTGTACTTACAACCTGAATGAAATGATTAATGCGAATGAAGTGATTCGAAGAGATTATGTAATAGTAAATAAGCATTTATGTTCTTGATTTGTAAACTTGCTTTACTGATTTTAATTCCAATGATTAATAAATGATCTTTATACTCACATGTACTTGCTGAATGAAATGATTTGAAGAGTATTACATGATGCATTTATGTTCTTTGATTTGTGAACTTATTTATCTAATTTTAATTCCAATGATTAATAAATGTTCTTTATACTTACGAGCTGAATGAAAGGATTAAAGAGTATTACATAATTGTAAATAAGTATATATGTTCTTGATTGTGATCTTGTTTTGCTGTTTTAATACCAATAATAAATAAATGATTTTCTATACTCACTCACTAAATAAAACGATTAATGCAAGTGAAATAATTTGAATAATAAACATTTGTTTTTTGATTTGTGAACTTGGTTTTCTATTTTAAATCTAATAATTAATAACTGATCTTTATACTTACTCGCTGAATAAAATAATTAATGCGAATAAAATGGTTTGAAGGGTTTACATAATGGTAAATAGATATTTATGCTCTTGATTTGTGAACTTTTTACTATTTTTAACTTCAATAATTAATAGCTGATCTTTATACTTACTCGCTGAATGAAATAATTAATGCGAATAAAATTATTTGAAGGGTTTATATAACGGTAAATAGATATTTATGCTTTTGATTTGTGAACTTGTTTAGCTATTTTAAATTTCAATAATTAATGAATAATCTTTACACTCACCGACTAAATTAATGAAATAATTTGAAAGATTTAAGTAATAATAGATAAGTATTTATATTTTTTTTTGATTTGTGAATTTGTTTGCTATTTTTAATTCCAATAAACAATAAATAATTTTTACACTTACAGACTAGATTAACGCGAATAAAATATTTTAAAGGTTTTAAGTAACGATAAATAGGTATTTGCGTTTTTGATTTGTGAATTTGGTTTGCTGTTTTTGTTAATACTTACTCACTGAATAAAATAATTTAATGCAAATGAAATGATTTAAAAGGTTTGAGTAATGGTAAATAGGTATTTGCACTTTTAAGTTGTGAATTTGTTTTACTGTTTTTAATTATTATTAATAAATGATTATTATACTCACATACTAAATTAATATAAATGAAAATCATGTAATGGTAAATAAGTATTTATGTTCTGAAATGTAAACTTGTTTTGCTAATTTAATTATAATGATTAATAAATGATCATTATACTCACGCACTAAATAAATAATTAATGTAAATAAAATGATTTTAAAGATATTATATAATAGTAAATAAGTATTATATCTTTACTTTTGAACTTGTTTTGCTTATTTTAATTCTAATAATTTAACCTTTATACTCACCCACTAAATAAAATTATGTGAATAAAATGATTTGAAAGATATTATATAATAGTAAATAAGTATTATGTTCTTGATTTGTGAACTTGTTTTGCTTATTTTAATTCTAATAATTTAACCTTTATACTCACCCACTAAATAAAATTATGTGAATAAAATGATTTGAAAGATATTATATAATAGTAAATAAGTATTATGTTCTTGATTTGTGAACTTGTTTTGCTTATTTTAGTTCTTATAATTTAACCTTTATACTCACGTACTAAATAAAATGATTAATGTAAATAAAATGAGTTGGAAATATTACATAATAGTAAATAAGTATTATGTTCTTGATTTGTAAATTTGTTTTGCTTATTTTAATTCTAATAATTTAACCTTTATACTTACATACTAAATAAAATAATTAATGTGAATTAAATAATTTGAAAGATAATAAATAGTAAATAAGTATTATGTTCTTGATTTGTGAACTTGTTTTGCTTATTTTAATTCTAATAATTAATAACCTTTATACTCACGCACTGAATAAAATAATTAACATGAATAAAATGATTTGAAGTATTACATAATGGTAGATAAGTATTTGTTTCATGATTTTTGAACTTTGCTTGATTGATTTTAATTCAAATAATTAACAAATAATCTTCATACTTACGAGCTGACGAAAAGGT